TCTTCTAGTTGATGCATGCACCCGCACAAACTTCACCTTACCTTATCTTTGTACCACATGTACTGTAATGTTTGAAATAAAAAATTCTTCTCTTCTGAAATTCTTCGAAATGTAAATGCATTAAAATTGTTTTTCTTGATTGGAACGTATAGTTATGCTGATCATAGTAACACTTTATATATATAATAACATTCTGGCACTGGTGCACCTGTAAAGGAATGCTTTCTACTTTTACAAAATAATTAAAGGAAATTCATAAAATTATAAAATTTTCTATGGCTTGACAACGTTGCCGATAACAGACTTCATCATGCTTTTGATAAATCGAAAACTTTATGATAATGATTATAAAAAAGTTATCGGCAAGGAGCTCACTGAAGAATGCGATGTGTTCTACACGCGTCTCTCGCGAAGAGAGACGTTTTTTCTTCACAACTTTCAATTGAATTCCTGATAAACCGTAGTGTAATGGGGTTAACTCTGATCCAACCGTTATGAAAGTTCTTTATAGCTTGATCGCTAACTACGAATACGATTCTTTCTACCTACTCAAAACAGATACGGCTTCCTTTGATAGATGGGTTTCGTGTATCACATTTTTGGAAGATTTGACTCGTTAATTATCCTCCACTTAAGACCCTTCACACGGCAAAACTAGTACTGTCTCACCGGTTCATGATGACCACACCACCCGAGATCCGGCTGGGATAGGCAAGCTTTTGAACTCTGGGCGGACATAAAGAAATGGTCGAACGACAGTTCCAAATGGCAATGGAAAGTGACTTAAGTGTGGTCATAGTCTTCCACGGGGGTCATCGCTCCCTCAGGTAACACCTGAAAGATGGGTATGGTCGCTATCGATTCACGTAGATTCTGCCAAAGCACGACTGCAATGTCCCATCATCTTCTATGTGAATGTGAGGGCATCTGCAGAATCAGCATATTCAGGTTTCCATGCTCGATGTCGATCTTTGCCATTCGCATCATACCCATCATTTTTAAAAAGTCGAGATCAGGTTTCATATGAGTTTTAGTATTGAAATCGTATTCGTCGCAAACTTCCATAAGGAACAGCCGACTATCTGCTACCTTTCTCATTGTTTAACTTTGTCGCTACCAACCGTCATATGTATGTGGCGTATTTGTATCAGTTTAAAAAAACTTTGGCTGTGGTGGATGTTTTTCCCAGTAAGCTCTGGTCGAGAACGGATTAAATAATAAAACAGTAAATGCTGACTGTGACCATTTTAGGACACAAATTAATCCATGTTCAATAGCTGGCACTTGAAGAATTGTCTAGTATGTATATCAAATTGGGATCTGACAGCAGTGCAACAAAATGCCCGCAACTCTAATTCTTAACTGGTTTTTTGATGAGAAATAGAATTCGCTTTCATTCGCATTTACACCTGAAGCTCAATAAATAAAATAAAAATAAATTAACAGCCGAATTCAATTGACTCTTACCCGGAAATCTTATACTAATTATTATTAAAAAATAACACAAAGCACAATTCAGGTATAAATAAATAAGAAAAAACAAAAGGAAAGCATGTAAGCAATTAGCGCAGAGGTACACACTCCACAGTGAATTTTCGAACCATAGTGAGACGATAAGCTTCCAAGTTATTCTAAATACGACATAGGCAGACTGCGCGTATTGAGCGTAGTTGCTTTGATAGACTTTAAAAAGTTCGACATTGAGATTGAGTGATTGACACCATTTAGGTTATTGGAAATAGCTCCATCAGATGTTGAAGTAGGGACCATACAGCTACAATTCTCTCACTATAACACCAAGGGAGTTGTGGCAAATTGACGTCCCCCGATTCTATAACTATATCAGTTGGTTTAGACTTTTCGTCCACGTCACAAATGAGGACAGCATGTTTCTTATAAGTATAGATATCTGCATTTAGGGAAATATAGCAGCAAGTTACATGTAACTGTTTACTGGCAATTTTCGGCCGGAATTGCAATAATTTCAACGCCAGGAAGAGAATTTGAAGAATTTGAAATGAATAGGACGGGACTACAGCAGATGCGGCAATTCAAACACTACCAGCATTGCAATCCAATCGATCCTTTCTAAAAATCTGGCAAGAATTGCAAATGTAAATCAAGCTTTAACCAGTTTTCAGTGAAAGCCTAACGGGAAAACTCTGTACGCACTGAACTTAGGAAAGTAGAGCGCATTTTTGAGTTTAGGCCCGTAACGTTTGAAGAAACATTTAGTTTTGTGAATAGTGAAAGAACTACCAAATTAATATTATGAGAGCAATCCCGAGCGATGAATTCCTATAATAAGGATCCAACTGGTCACAATGATTTATTTAACTAAACTTCCATGACTTCGGTCGGAAGTAAGACCTTAAAGGACGAGATTGCTCTATGATGAGATGAAGCCAGCTTGAAAATGCTAACACGCTTATAGCACTTTTCATGCTATCCTCAGAGGTGTCAAGCGCCAGCTTTGACACGAATATTAACTTTCTGGGTGGTACTGTCGTCCTGTGAACGTCATCCGTATTAGGAACGATAGGATTGACGGACAGGAAGATTTTGAGTTGGAGGAGTGCAGTAGTGTAGAGGGAGTGAATGCAACTCGAGCGACTTGCCCTGCATGGTGAGTAGCGGACACACCCGAACAGCTAGGGGTGGAAGCGGATTTATTATTTTTATTAATAATCTTTGGTTTCAATTCGAAATTTTATTTAAAGTAAGATTCTTTTATCTTTGTGATAGAATTTTGTATCACAAGAAGATTTACTAAAGCTACTTACGTAAGCACATATTTTTGCGTTAAATGTTCAAAGAGATAATAGGTCATCAATTAGCATAGGTGTTAATCATAAGAAGAATTTTTATTGAATGCCACACACATTCCAATTATGCGCCGCTTACCAAAAACACATTCATAGCCTGTTATTTGCATCACGCAGCTAGCGACTGACGAAAAGATTAACAACAAATGGCACAAACTTGGCGGAAAACGGATTGAAAATGACGCGACGAATTTAGGTAATGGTAACGTGCTTCTAAAGGGATAAACGGAATATTTGCGGAAGGCGAGGTCAGTCGAGTCAGTCGTAAGCGAATCGTAAGAAAGTTGAAAAATGAATCACAAAACAGTCGAAAGTGGAAAGACCAGAACGGCAATCAAAGCGTCGTTAATAAAATTTCCTGTAAATAATTTGTAATAGATCTCTTGATTTTATTACTAAAATCTACACTGTCCTTAAAACCGCAATTCGGTGGTATGAGCTTAATTTCAAAAAAAGTTGAATAAATAACATGAAATTCACAATAGACGGATTTACGTTATTATATAATAGAATTGCTTTGCCTATATTACAACCGTTTTTCTTATGCGAGAGCGAACTTTCTGTGAAACCTTCCTACGTAAAAAGTTTTAACAAATTTCATTTTTTTTCTCTTTTTTCTCTTATTTTCATAAGAGTCCACAAATGGAGTTATTTGGTCGAAATTTATCCTCAATTGTTATGGAGCAATTTTCACTACAATCTATTAAAAATTAAAGTTGTTTGCCAAAAGGTGTTTATATTTCGTGGGAATGTGTATGGGAAGGATTTGAAAAAACTCATGCATCCCACCTAAATATTTCACATGGGTTTAATATATGAAAACACATTGCCTGCTAATTTTTTGTTAAAAAATTTTTCAAACACCAATTTTTTTTAAAATGCAACGTTACATGAAAAATGATAGTACTATGGTGGTCTGATGCAATCAATTTGCAATAGAGTCTGCTCTTTTGCTATGTCAATGAAAGAAACTTCATGTCAATCTCTCATAGATTTTCGTTTTTTTTTTTTTCTCAAATGCAACTTCTCCCTTAGAGGATGGTTCCTATATATGTAGCATGGTAATGGTTAGACAGAAGTAGAGAAAGACATGGTGGTGAGCATATTCCAAATCGCCTTTTACCGATTGAGAACTCATTATAACCGCGACCAAGTGTGATATACCGTACAATCGGGCTATGTGGCAGTCCAGACCGCAACCCGCTGAAAATATAGAAACTTTCGCTCAACGATTTAGAAACCACGTCCAATGTCATCCTTACTGAGACTTCTTGGTTGTTAGTAAGAAACGATTGTATTTGCATTGGTTTTTTGTGGCAAAGCTTACCTGTCTAGCGTGGGTGCCATATATAACATAACAGATATCATTCTTGATATTTTTTGATAAAACCGAGTTCAAGCAAAAACTTTTCTGCATGCTCTCTGTGGCCAATGCGAAACTTGAACTTTGATGCAATCTTCTATCAAAATTGATTAGCTAAACAAGGCAAAAAGCACATTGGACCTAATTAAGCGCTGGGCAAAAGAGTTCCGTGATACTTAACACCCTACTGAAATCGTTTAGCGCTAATAAATAATATTTTTCGTACATACGATTTTTAATGCCATATCTGACTCCCACTGCTGAGTATCTTGACTAGGCAGCTTCGCTACAGAGCAATATATGGTAACAATATTCCTATCCGGAGGCAATGGGAACTGTAACTTGCTTGGCTTTGGAGTGAGTGCTTCTAACACAAAGTCAAAGATTATTAAAATCTAGAACACTCCGCCCTTGTTGGTGATCAGCTAAACAATATTGTAGCTGATGGCTGAGACCTCGTCTAGGTTCGTTGTTTGGGCGTTAAAAAAGAATGGTCCGTTCGTCGTTCAGGGCGGCGAAGAATGTGCGACCGTGGGATCGCTAACAATAAAAAAAGGAAATTAAATCGCCTGAGAATGGTCTTAAAACAGTCCTAGTTGCACTGCCAGTCACGTAACAATAATAAAAAAACATCAATTATTTGATGAAGAAAGATAAACGGTTGAGACTGGGAAAAGTTTATTAATTAATAAGAGAACTTAACATCTATACGTTAGGCATAATGCAAATATCAATCAATATTAAGAGTAGTCAGTCGTATTATGTATGATTCATAATAAATTTCCCTTTTTCCGTTTTATGGATATTTTCAGGTTCGCCGATAAACCGTTTACCCATAATGGCAAAATCCGTACTGGATTTGTACGAATTATACAATTTGGTAATTGCTCGCGGGGGATTAGTCGATGTTATTAATAAAAAGCTATGGCAAGAGATTATAAAGGGACTGCACTTACCGTCAAGCATAACAAGTGCAGCATTTACGCTGAGAACGCAGTAAGTAATTAAAAATTTGCCAAAGACATATTTCGATTCAAATAAGGCTATCAGACTCATGAAAAAAAAAAAAAAAAAACAAATTATTATTATGAAATATGTGTTGTTTGTGGTTCGTGTATGTATACCGCGAACAAAATGTGTTCCACAAATATTATAAAAAAACGAAAAATAAGTTAAATAAATAAATGTGGATATGGATTATGGGCGAAGACCTAAATGTGAACGACTGAATGCAAATGCATGGCCCTGTGACAAAAACCGCAAGCAAATTAGTTTTTAAAAAGACGATTATTATATAAAGGCAACAACAATAAAATGTAAATATAAATATGTGAATATATATATATATGCATTTATATATACATATATATGTATTTTTCTACATTACCAGAGTTAGTTGATAGTTAGTTACCAGTTACCGTATCACACACACACGTACATATACAACAATAGTTTTTTTTTTTTTTTTTTCTTTTAAACAAAATAACAACTTAACCATAAACCTTACTTTTAATTTTTATCTCGAGAGAAATTTTCGCAAAACTTAAGTATATAATAACCGCAAATAGGTTTTCTCTTAAGTTTCTCTCTGCAATCGCGTAGACAAACGGAATAATATAGCCACGCACGAATAAATGCATACGTACGTATGTATGTATGTTTGTATGTATGTATGTATGTATGTATGTATGTATGTATATACATACGTATCTACATGTATGTATTTATTATATGCTTGCACACGCAAACGTACACATAATTTTGATAACACGAGATCTTATGGCTATAGCGAGCGAGTCAACGTTAAACCAATAAGGGTCTATGATGTTTGTCGAGTTAAGCAACCAATGAATGGTTGGTTACTTGTTGTTATTATTATTGTTTCTATAGATATTACAGTTGTTTTTGTTGTTAACATTTGTGTGTATATTTGGCTTACCAATATAACAAATTACTTGCAAATTACAATGTGTCTGCTAATAATAGTAATAATTATTGCAACAACAATAAAAATATGCATTCATCATTTTATTTTATGGCTCAGTAGATCCGAGAAGCCCCAACGACGAACGACACTGTTGTAGTAATAGCCACTGAAGTGTTGTACTATGACTGACTGCAACATTGTAAAGTATTTTTCAATCATAAAAATTACTTTTTTTTTCTTTTTTTTTTTTTCTTTCGAATTTTTATGAATTTAAAGTCCGCCATCACAGTTTGTCAGGCATTCAGTCTGCCTGTCAATCATATTTCAAACACGATTTTTATGCCTTTTAGCCTATATGCACACGGCAGCAGAGCCAACACCCTATGACTGTATAGGACAGGGACATAGAAGTAGCACATACGTATGTCTCTTATATGTTCACAATACAAATAAATATAAATATACCCACATATATATATATATATATATGTACACATATGTACGAACCTACATGCATGTCTGCATTATGCAGACCTATACGTATTGTTGTGTACGATGCAACCAAAAAAAAAAAAAATAAATAAAAATAAAAAAAAATTGGAAAAAGGAAGATAGCAGCGACAGCGAGAGCAATAGCATTGTCATTGCCCGTTTGCTGTACTTGGTCTTAAAAAGTTGTTTCCGTACTGCTTTTTCGTGTACACGTACCGTAATGCAAATGTCATTGACTTAAGTAAGGTGCGCGCTTTGTGTGGTTTATGCTTTTCATATGTAGAACTAAAAACTATAGGAGACCTTATAGTTTTGTCTCCCAATCTGTTTCAATGACTTTCTAAGCAGAACAAGAAATCTTGATTGATATCCATTTGTCCAATCTGTCCCTAAAACAGACAGGATGGCCTTCGTTTCGATATATTCCCAATTTCAATATCAATCACCAACAAAAAATTGTTTACATTTTCAAAGTCACAGATGATCTTTTGGGGGGAAAAGAAAGAAACGTAATTTTTCAAACTCGAGTTGCATTTTCCTCAGCCGAAAGACCCAGACTAGACGCCTGTTTTCCGGCAGATCGTAAATCGTCCTTTCCTGCTTATGTTTGCCAATCTGTGGCCCCTCTCTATGTATCGTGAATATTTACAGATAGATAAATATGCGTCCTACTCTAAAACAGTTCTCGTAATCTTCTACAGTTTGATTTTTTCCCAATTTCCCAGTCGCCATCAGAAAAGTGTTCATATTTGGAAAATCAAAAATCTTATAAAACGGATCAGTTATAGAAATTAACGTTAGTTAGTTCACATGAAGCAAAACCTATCGCGTGGCTATTAGCCGAAGGACCCAGGTTCGATTCCTGCTCCGGTAAATGTGTTTACACATCAGTATAAGTTATTATGATAAATAATATAATATCTATACATATATATATATATTTGTTTTTTGGAGCTTCAATCAGATCGAGTTCCATGCCATAAACGAGAAGCATTAATTAATTAAAAGGACAGCCCTGCTGAATAGTAGAGTTCGATGAATAATGGATGTCGTGTTTCGAGCTCTATTCATGCCTTCTTCTAGGCTATCATTTATTATTTCTAGTTCATTAGCGTAATTACTTTTAGTGGAAAAAGAACACAAGATAATTAAATAAATTTAAAGAAGGAATCCGTTTAATAAGACCAGTAAAGTATTTTTAATATTAGTGTAAAAATGATTTGAAAAAAAAATTCGCTTTCATTCAGCTATGCAATCGTGTTACAATTTTAACCCCCATCACTAAACTAGGTGTGTTTTCCCCTTTGTAACGCTCAGAAATAAAAAGAAAATGTGTTTTTTTGAATATATTTTGAATCTTCTTCTTCTTTCTACTAAAACTAGTACTTACTAATAGTAATATCGACAGGCTTTATAAAAGTTGCAATAGAGAAAGTTATTGGTGTTAAATCGCATTGGATGAAAACCTAATCACTCTCACGTTAAAGCATTATCCTTAGATTTAAATTTTCTTTATGGCTCCAAGCAACCTAATTTTTGGCGGCTGGAGTTTTAAAGCCAAAAAAGAAAGCTTCAAAATGAAGAGGTTGTCACTCTTTAATTACTAAAAAAGACGGACGATTAGAAATGGAGTTGGTACAAGCCATGATGCCGGGGAATGATTTACATCGATGACAAAGCTGAATATTTGATTCCATTACATCATCGTAACCTTATATGGCTATAGTGTATGCGTCCATTTCTGCTAAAAAGCAGGACTATTTCTCGATGTTAATTTGCTATCGTCACCTGTATATACACCTCAAAGCACCTCAGCCCCTTTGATAATTTTCCTTTAATGATAATTTCTATTTCCACGATACAATTTCCGTCTAGTCTTTGGTATACAACAGCTGTTGCAGCTCTTTCATCGAAATACGCTCTTATAGCTAATAATCTTCTGTCGAATAAGTTACATATGTCTGGAACTTTTCTCCGCTAAGCAACAAGATGTCCTTTACTCGCATTCTCTTTGCATCGACACACGTATTTTATGTCGAAACACACCCACACGTCTCTTATTGCAGATCATGGCCCGAAGAAGATCATAGGTAGGTTAGGGTACAGAATGGCCCACGACTTAGTATTTGGCTGATCGGTAAGCAGCTTTCATGCGTTCGGCTTTTTTTTTTGTGAGTAAAGCACATGTATTTCTTTTAGATCTAATCTTCTGTAGAGTGGCCATGAGATGCAAATGACGTGAATTGTTCGATAGACAGATATTGAGGATTATTACAGACCATCATGCGTCACACAAAAGTGGTGCCCAGCGTGGTCCCTTTCCCATTGAAATTATTCTATCAATCCACCTAGTAATACTGTTACTAATTTGTAATCTTTAAGATGCCACTTTCTTCGTATTTCATTGCTAGAAAAATCACTTCCAAATACAATAACTTTTGTAGTCATTTAGAGATGACACTATGTTTTTGGAAGCTTGCATAATATTTTATGGAACTTATTCGTTAGTTATTTTTTCATGTTCACATAGGTTACTCGCTTCGTTTGCTGTCCCGACATTTTCAAGCGGCTTTTTTATTTGTCCTTTTGCTACTTTTTGGGTAAACGGCGAGTGCCCTCACAGTAGAAGACTTATGATCTCGAGATGAAATAATTGTTGAGGTATTTTCGCACATCTCCAACTTCTGCAAGCGACTGATCTGCTAAATATGACTACATCCACCTGAACGCGTGGTAATGGGAAGGAGATAGATCTAGCGAATACGGAGCAATTGAGAGAAGCTTCCAGTTTAAGTTGAAGGTCATTTCCCTGGCTCGCTTTTGTTAGCGACAGGCGAACGTAAGCGAATTTGTTTTGAATGTCGCAACCTCTTCTTTTTTTTTAATAGTTTACTGCATTTTTCCTCGGAGCCAAATTAATCATTTCCGTAGCTTCACATGCCTTTTTTTTCCTATTTAATCCAGTCGAAAATAAAAAAAAGGGCAGCAATGCCGTAAAATCCGTCCATCTCCTTAGACATCTATATACATCAAACGATAGTTTGCAAACAATTGAAACTTATAGCGTGCAAACAACATTATCCAAGTTATCTAGACCCGAATGAAATTTCGAAAAAAGTTCAAAGTCACTCGGTAGTGAGAACTGTCATCCCAAAATTAAAAATTACATTCGAGCTAACTCGATAACGAGACGCGTAAAGCAACCCCAGTGTATTTTTCTCTCTCTCTCTCTCTCTCTCTCTCTCTAAAATGCATCCTTATCTCTGGTTTTATAAGTCGTGTATTCTAACGACTCATCTATCCCGGTGAACAAAATCTTTATTTTTGTCACAAAGTCATTGTTACGGCAATAGCAATGAAAACATTTTGTTTTCATATATATCACCAAAGTATGAGGGATGTATCCATTTTGCCAAAACGTTTGCAAAGCTTGAGAGACCCCTCAAAGTATACATCTGGTTGGTCAGCATCAAGTTCTAAATCGGTTTAAGTATGTCCGTCTGGCTGCCTGTCCGTCTGCGCATTGTCTGTTGTATTCTCTTGGCCGCAAATAGAAGCTATGGAGTTCAAATTTGGCAAGGTCAACCCTATAAACTATGCACATTCTTGATCAGTTTCAAGTTCGCAATGCACCTAAACATGTCCGCTCGCTCATTTGCCCAACTGCGCAACCATGCAGTATCTGTAGTAAACATTCTCACGTTCGCAAAAGTCAAGATGCCGCTTACAAACTTGCAAGAGACTTTTAAAAGCACCCGTATATTCACAAAGAACACGCCTACAACACGCTCACATGCGTATGTATCAAAAGTTGTGAACACTAACTTTCCATGTTTTTTGCTTGTTACTCATAAATTACAACACACACACGATATAAATTTCCACTTTCTGTTTTCTGAAAACAGAAAAAATCAGCCGCGCCCACTCATTATTATAGAACATGAAAATGCTTTTTTTTGGTAGTATCATTATGTAACAGTCAGTTGTGGTGTGCACCTTGTGTTGCCAATAACTAACGTGCAAGCTTCCTTGTCCTTGTGGGACAAAACTTTTAAAATCTAATATTCTAAAATTGCCTCTCCTTTATTACGGTTAGTTCGTGGTGTATCGAAGACGTATAGAGTTATAAAATAGATACTTGGGTTAAATATAATCCCAGACAATCTGTTCCGTACTGTATCGAAACTTGCTTTGTGTTACACTTACCTTGAAAATAATATAAATCAAGGCAATATGTACCGTCAGCCTTGAGACGTAAAATTTAATGGTAGCTTGGATTTCATTACAAACATACATAGAAATGAAATTCAAAAAAAAAAAAAAAATTAAAGGAAAAGCCAATACTGCGACGAAATACAAAAATTAAAAATATATTCAAACAAGAAGCGAAAACACTACAATGTGTCAAGGGTCACCATTAAATGCCACACACTAATCCATGGTTGTTTATATATAGACTTTTCAAAATAAGTTGTCATATGGGAAGTGGTTGAAAAATTGATCCAATCCGAACTGTTTTCAATAATGCTCGTGTTTGTACCATGGGTAATAGGTTGATCACAATAAAGCAAGTCGACAGACGGGTACCCAAGCAGCAAGCTTCAGGATTCAGGAATTAATTCTTTTCAATCGATTGGAATAATAAAAAGTAGGTCAATCCTTTTAGGTGTTCAATCCGTAAACTTATTGCATTCTTGAATCCTGAGTGCGGTAGGGAGTAATGATGATGACGATCCCAAAATTCATTTTCATCGAAAATTACAACTAATCTGTTGTTCTTCTCGTCAAAGTTGAATGAAATTCCTCTTATTTACCCAAAGATTAAAAATAAAAGCAAAAATCGACACACATACGATATTTTGAAATCGGATCTTATCGAAATCGTGCTGACCCGAACTACCGGGTTGAATGAGAGGCGCCTGTACATTCATGTCATAATAATATTAATTACATATATTATTATTATTATTATTGTTATTATTTAATAATAACAATTAATTTATGCCCTGACGGAGGGGGGGAGTCAGGACGGACACATTGATATAACAAGAATGAATGCCTCTGCACATATGGTATTTAATTGACGTGAAAATAAATATTCTTGCAGTGATCAATGTTCGTTTGTCAATTTGTCAAATTCGGTGCGTAAGGTTACTTTTACTTATGTAACGAGGCGCAAAGGAAATAAAATTTACAAAAAAAAAAAAAAATAAAAAAATAATTCATTCGCAAGATATAGTAAGACATTGACGATATGTTAATAGCTTACAGTACCACCTGTAGCGCAGAAAATTTTCCATATAACATAAGTGCAGAGAGAGCTCTAGGATATCACATTCTTATATGAATCTTCATTACTGGTAACGTTGAAGTTATTGACTGCAAGAAGACGACAACATGTACACACACACACACACACGTTTAGTATTTATTTTTTTAAGCGCTTCATCTTCCATATGTATAAATGTGTGTATGCATGCATTTACTGAATTGTCTGATTTGCATGCGTATTTTTGTTTATAATTCATATCTACTCATACGTGTAAAAAATTGCGTTTAATTCAATAAACACTCATAAGTTCAATCGATGAGAACGTCTCGAAAGAAAAAGAAAAGGAAAGAAGACAGAAAAAGCATACTTTCTAGAGAGGATGTGCGCTGCTTTTTTTTTTTTTTTTTTTTTTTGCAAACTTCTTGCTTTATTTGCTTGCTTGCATTCTCTGAATTCTCGAGTAAACGCGAAGAGAATTTTGTAGACACACATTCGACTTTGATGCCAATTAACGCGATAATAATTATGAGAATTGCTTATTATACCCTACACTACTTGTGCTACATAAGTATATTACACCTTATGCGTGTATTTGCAATATTGAGAAAGACTTGGGAGAAGTCAAGACGAGTGGCTTTTGAATCACTTACTCAATTCATTAAAGCGTGTCCATCCGTCTGGCCGCCTGATCGTCTCATGGCCGCAATTTTCACGATATTTCGAACAAATTTGACAAATGATTTGACTTAAATGCTTTTGTCGCAAGGGATCAAGGGAGTTCTCAATAGAATCCTGCTTACGATCACTTTCCATATAATGGAAAAACTAATTGTATGAAAATTTTTTTTTGTATATTCCTCAATAAAAAGAGATGAAAAAAGATGTTACGACATACTAAGGGAATGGAGAAAATCGGGATTAGATGGAAGCCTTTTTTGATCAATCTCCCATGTCATCGTTTTGTCTTTTTTTTTTTCGTAAATCTTTTCTGATTTGTAGTATTTTTTGTGACGAAAAGTATCGCAAAGCCGAGTTAATAAAAGTCGGGGGTACCAAGACAGCGTTCCCTGATTCAAATCTCAAATAGAGTAGATTTTACTTTGGACATCGGTACAGTGAGTGCTTAGAGCCTAACGTTTAAAGCTTAACTTAGCGCTTAGTGCAGCCGCTCTTTCCATCTCTTTCGCCACTTATTTCTGACCATTACCGTGATTTATAGATAGGGTACATTCTCTGACGGAAAAGAGGACATAAAAATGTGCTAACTCTGAATGATTCTGACCGTCTTCCATACAAGATAAATCTTTATAAGACAAAAACGTCTTAATTTTTACTTTTTAATAACGAAAATGGTGAAGAATAACAAGTTTTAAAGCAAAAAAAAAAAAAAAAATGGAACTACACCAAATATAGATCAGGGCTGTTCACGATCCGGACCTACTACATATAATTTTGTCAAAACATCATTATCGTTTTGTTAATTATGTTCAACTTGCGATTGTAGAGTGTAAAGTGTTGTAGGGTATTTAGGAGTCGGTCTTGTCGGCCTAATAACATATTAACTTGTTTTAAATCTAAGGGGTATTAAGCCGGTTCGTGTATTTTTCATCATGAACGTATAAAATCTATTTTGCATTAGTACACACAAACATACACACACAAACACACACATGTATATATAATACTAATTTTAGAAAAAGTTTTTCTGCAGTTTTATGTCAAATATTCACACAATTTTGTATGTTTTTTTTTTTTTAGTTTTTGTTCTTCTTTTCCTTATGCACGCATTACATTATATTCAATAATGTCCCACCTGAAATAGCAAAACATGCTTATCGGTGCATATATTCGTATATGAATATATATCTATCTATCCATTCCATTGCATTGTTGATCGTTATTGTGTTGTAATTTCACATCTTTCAACGCAACTCGTTCCGTTCGATTGCGTCCATTAGCATTTTTTAATTTAATTAACACAATCCAACACCAACTTTAAAAAAGAAATGCTGTTCGTCGTTCGTTTGTTCGTTTCTTTGTTTGTTCGCATGTTTGTTTGTTTGTTTGTTTGTTTGTTTGTTTGTTTGTTTGTTCGCTTTTAAGACAAACGTCATTAACATCTTCAGTTGAGTCGAGTCGAGTAGAATCAATGAATTGCATACAACTGTTGCACATAGTTTCAAGAATGACGATATAATGATTGCTGATTGTTGTTGTTGTTGTTGTTGTTGTGTACCATTATTCAAATATTTGATCAACTCGAAAACTGCTCTACGATAATGATAATAACGATAATGATAATAATGATTACAATCATGATGATGATGATGATGAACAGAGAAAAGGTTAACCATTCCCAGGTACAAATACTATATAATTGTTTCACTACTATCGTAGTCGATATTAGCATTTTGTTGTGTCACCTTTTGTCTTCTACTGCACAAGATTTAGATTTCATTTGAATTTTCAAGTGCAAGAAAATGATGATAATGTTGATTTAGGCAAATCTTTAATGTTGCTTTATGTCATCGCAGTTGCCTGTGTATGTATGTGCATGTGCATACCTATAAGCAAATAAATTCATAGATGATAAACGATTCAAAATTTTCTTAAGCTAAAAGGGAAAAATAAAAAAAAATAAAAAAGGAATTCTTCTCAAAATTACAATGAAACGCACATCCAATGTCGCAATACTTCAAAATGTTCTCTAAGCAATTACACGTGCATACTACTACTACTACTACTACTACTACATATATGTATGCGTACATCGGATATATATGCGTAGAAAGATTGCATTTAACTTTTTTTTCTATTATCTTTACGCTGGTTATTACTTAACGTAACGCAACGTTAATCCTTTTTTACATGTATATTTGCAGATATATGAAATATCTTTATCCGTACGAATGTGAAAAGAAAAATTTGAGTACACCCGCCGAACTGCAAGCAGCGATCGATGGCAATCGTCGTGAAGGACGTCGTTCTAGCTATGGCCAATACGAGGCCATACATAATCAAATGCCAATGGTAAGCATATATATTATCTCATCTGATCATTAAGACGATTAGTTAACTTATTATTATTTATTTTTTATTTAAATACAGCAACAAATGGCCCGACAAAGTTTGTCAGGTGGCTTGCAACAAATGTCGCCGCTGGCATTGGTTACACATGCCGCCGCCGCTAATAATCCACAAGCTGCTGCACAGGCTGCTGCTGCCGCAGCACACCATAGACTGATGACTGCTCCCGCCTTTGCCCAAGTGCCGAATTTGATGTCTCACGATTTTGAGCAACGCATGTTGGAATACTTGAAACTGCTTCAAGCGAACAAAGAGCAGAATGTAGAGGCGGCGGCATCCGCCATTAGCAACAGTAACAGCAATGGACACCCAATGACACATTCACAGCAACAATCGGCCCAACAACATCAGTCGACATCACGTCAGAGATCGCAAAGTCCCGATGTTAGTCAACATGAAGCTTTCAATGTATTGGGAATGTCACGTGTAGCATTATGGCAAATGGTTAACAATCATGCAAGTCCACCCGTCTCAGTGAATGCATCTCTACATGGCGAAGGTGATAGCAGCGGTGATGTCGGCAACGGTAACGTCAAAACTGCCAGCGAAATATCAGGGTAAGAGAAAAAGATTAAAAATATCCCAACCATAACGGAAAATGCAAGAGTAGCTGCAAAGGTTTTTAGCACATTTCTAGCGCACGACAATGTTGCATTTTGCAAAAGCTTCTTTGAACACAAGCGCGATCTTGTTGCGACTTTTAAAAAAATTTTGATTGCGATATAAAGGACGAAAACCGGCAAAGAGCATAGAAGAATCAAGAGGTGGATGGACAAGGGAAGGCGAGCGGTTCAAGTGCTGCTTCAAGGCAATAGCAGAAAATTGCCTTTGCATCAGATCTTCCTTTTTCCCCCTCTTTTCTTAATCGGCAACTCCTTACAGCTTGGAATTATAAAATAATCGTTGCAACATGAGTCAATGAAGTTAATGAAATCCTAAGCGTATCTGGCGAAAAATTAACCTATATTCATATGTTCGGACGTTAAAAATTCCCGGTCTTGCCTAAAGGCTCCAGACCAGGAGTTGTGAAATATGTAAGCGCCCAAGAAAGATGAGATTGTATGAACGGCACCTTCGCCGTAACGTGTCCCGCCACTACAAACGCTATACAAAAATGTGAACGATTTGTTCACTAATAAAGAACTATTCCAATTTCTCAGCTTTCTCTCCCACTTCTGCTAGAGTTGCCTGTATACAACACAACGCCCTACAGCGTCTCCTTGTTGTTTAAAGATTCTTTCCATCGTTCCAGGTTTTCCACTTTCAAGTCGAATTTGTGTAAACACTACCGCCTTTTAATTTCCCTCTTCCTTTTGTAAAACTTCCGGACGAAAAATAGATTCATTGGGAAAACCCAAGCTCTAAATCCTAGCAGTTCGGCATCGGAACCAAAAGCAACTCGCTTCGAGAAGATGGAGAGCTTCTGTTTTTGAATGGACCAGAAAGGCGTGGTACATGTTATGAGTTACTGAAACGTAGTGAAAATAAATGATCAACTTGAAGGGCGCATTGCAGACAAAGCGACCGGAAGGTTAACGAGTAGGAAAATTACATTCGATCGTGACCGCATCTTTTACACGATCGATTCAGAAAGTAATTTCACATGTCTGTCCCTCTCGTCTTTTGTGCTCAACCTACAGGTCGCAACTTTTAAGATATTTTGATGCAATTTGGTAGACTGAAGGAGGAACACTTGCGAAAATGGTTTCGAGACGGATCTATTCCATACACCTTTGAAAAGTCGTTGTATGAGTAACTATAGAGTGATGCAAGGTATTGGGTCGTTTTTCACTACAATTATTTATTGCGAACCCGGAATTTTCAGATATTTCTGATAATAGTACAGAGAGTGGTAAACGTAATAAGACGAAGAAATTTGAGAAACTTAATATATTGCAGTTATATTCTTACACATACATACACAACACATACACAAATGGAATGTTTTCGCCATTTTTGATAAGTTCATTTTAAAGCTACATTAGTTGTTGTTCGAAATCTTCACATTTTCCTGCACTCCACTTGTGATTTACGTGTAAAACATTGTCATTTATGCATTTTCCTTATGTTAGTAACAAAGCTTTAAGCAACTTATCTAACTCTCTCCCTATTCGCAGCATTAAACGTGAACACGTAACTAGTCCAGAGCAATATGGACGAGAAGACTTCTTCAACCATCAGCCGCCGCCAACAAAACGAGCTAATTTTTACATACCGGTCGCTCCTAATTTCCAATATAAAGACAACGACTCGAATGGTGATCCTCATCAAGAACCTGACGAAGATGACGGTGAACAAAATTCAACGGCGAATTCCCCACCTGGAGATGCAAATGAAAGACCCTTAAATGGTGTACCTGGTCATCTGCCGGCGTTCCAAGACATGAGCAACAGCGTACACCACGACAAATCTGATGATTCTGCCATAGAAAACTCACCGTCGACGTCGGCCGCGTCTGGAGCTACAACTCGAGTCTCGCCGGTATCAACCAAGAAAATTCATTTATCTAAGCAAGTCCATCACACTACCGACCCCTCTAGCGACAACCCTAACGGCGTCGACAAATTAACGGCGTGTAACTCAGCTTTCGATTTATTATCTGGTTTGCAATTCCGAGTGACACGTAATGGTAAGAAAATGTTTTTCAACTTTTTGCTGTTTATGATATTTACGATCTTTTTTGCTTTATTTGTTTTTGTTTTTTTTTTCAGATATTAGTACAAATGGTGAACACCATCTTACAGTAAATCTGGAATTAAATGGTGTCACGTACTCGGGAATACTTAATGCAAATATTTCAGGTGCTACCAAAACGACGAAAACCGAAAGCAACATTGCCGACAGCGGCAAGAATAACGATAATGATGGTAACAAATTAAACTGTGTTGGTAATCATTCTGCCAGCACAAGCAATACCTATGCAAGCACATTTGAACAGCCGAAGGTCGTGGACTCTGCGATCGCTGAGACCGTAAGTGATACTGAAACGCCATCAAAAAGACCGACAGCTATCGTCACGTCAAATGGATCAACCAAGGCCTCGCTCAATAATACTTTAATCTCATCATAGAAATAACATAATTTCAACACCTGACGATCCAAACAAACTTTTGTTTATATGAAATAAAAGGAGCGTAATTTGAAAAAAGGAAGAAGAGAAAGCAAGGCGTACGCCCAACAAGAAGATAACAGAAATTAATAAAAATTTAATATGGGTTAACATAAACGTACATATGGTATACCCGTAAAGAGAATAGACGAGAGTTTCAATTATAAGCTTTTTTTTTTCTTCTTTATAACCGTACGCCATTGCATAGACTACCACCAGACACTACCACCTCAAAAGGAAAAGAAAGAAATAAAAAAATTGAAATCATTCGCGACATAGGCATAAAGACATAACGTAAAGTAATGATACCTATATTGCTAAGGAGATCAGTTGGTGTTTAAGGAGCAGCGCACACACTTACGACATGACATGGCCTACGGAGGAAGCTTATTTCGTTACTCTCCGGATTTCATTATCGGCGTGTAAAGGTGAAAGGGAGAAAGGAGGGAGTTCATAACGCTTGTATGTGATGTTTTAGGAAAGTTATGAATCTCGGCAACTTACAACAACACATATTGTTATATAACATTTTAATATTAAATAATTGTAGGCATATAGACCAAAGTATATTTTCCAGAAAAGAAAAAAAAGACTAAAAAACTTTACTTAGTGAATGAACAGTGTAAAGTTTTCTTGATTATCATTTCAAATTTTATTACATATTTTATCGAGTAGAAATAAACACTTATTCAATGGCGTTTGTCCTGGACGCTGGGGCGGGGTCGTATTACTTGATGATAAATATACATAGGCGTTTGTGTAGCGCTATTTTATATGTGAATAAGTGAAAAGTGAGATATATTCTCTTAAAATTTCTCAAACCGATTTTCCTATTGATTTCAAAAATGATATCTAAGAAGAAATTTTTTTTTTTAATAGTCAGTAATGTAAGTAAACAAAAAATTGAATGAATAAATTTTTTTTAGTTACCTATCTATCTATCTATCTATCATTTGCTAAATTGATTTTCGTGATCTGTTTTTAGAAAGCATTTTTGTTAAACAAAATTTTGAAAAAACCATCCCATTGCATGGATTTGATTTATCCGAAATAGGCATGCAGTTCATTCATGTATTTAAATATACTTTCAATGAACTTCACTCTCTTAAGTAAGACACACACACGACAGTTGATGATGAAGAAAATTAAAGAGAAAATAAATATAAAACAAATATTTTAAACAAACTACAACAGAAAAACAGAAAAGACACTAATATTAAAAATATATCGCATTATAGTGGAAATGTATAATTACTTGATATTAAGTAATGATTTAGTCATATGTAATCATCATTATCATCATCATCATCATCATCACCAACGGCATCAACATTATTATCACGATCATTATTATAAACAATAAATATATAATTATATATGTATGGTAAGTAATTTACACATTTAATATATCATAACACATATATAAACGTATATATATATATATATATATATAGAATTACTATAAATATGTAAAACAATTATAAATTAGATATATAAATACTTGCTCCTTACATATAATCCATATGCAAATATATGTTAATCTGCAGTTTTAATCCGTTTTTTTTTTTCTGCTCTTTTTCGCGCCAAGAATTTAGTTTGAATTTAACTTCGCTTACGGATAACGGATAATTAATTTTTTTTTTTTATTTTAAGTATATATATATATATATATATATATGTATGTGTGTGTGTGTGTGTTTGCGTATGTGTGTATTCAAACATGTACAAGTATGTAGTTACATTTACTTAGTACTCATGACTCTGTTTATGCGTTTTTCTATAGTTTATTAGTTTAATTACTTTTAGTAAAATAAAAAATAAAAAAAACAGAAAACATTTCAAAGATAATATAAATGTTTGAAAAAAAAATCAATCAATAAGACGAATAAAGTATATTTAATATTAGTGTAAAAAGAGACATTAAAAAAAAAATGGTCTTTTTTATTTATTTATGCGCTCCCGTCCTGTAATTTTTATAGCCTATCACAATACCGAATATGTTTGTCCTTCTATTTGTAAATGTAGACTACTTACTATTGCTTAATAACTACTAGTGTGTTTATTGCAATCTTCTTCATCTCAAGCAGGCGGCGAGAGGGCAATGTTGCGCAATTCTTCTTCTTCCTTTCAACGAGTGCCAAGATCTGACCACGTGATAACAAGGGTCTAATAAGACTTAAAATAATATCGATCAATTCAGAAAATGGTTCTAGATTCCAAGCTGGTCTGTCTGTGTCGCTTTTTTGCGCTCAATATTTTGATGAAATTTGTTACACTGGATCACCTTTTCGGCCACTTCTTATTAAAGGTTTTATTTTGAGTGATGCACCCTATGATGCACCATGCCCCCTTATTTCGTAGCAATTTACTGCTGTTTTATTGTGAACTTTACGGGATTTTTTTGCACTAACATCTTAAGTAAGCCTACAATCTATTTGTTAATTCCTTATCCAATATCTTGTACACTTTGTCAGTTAGAAACTTTACTCTATTGTCAATGTTTCGAAACTTTCACGCACTAAGTGGTCGTGGCAAATTTTCCACAAATTGTAGATTAATATCAGCCATAAATTTAAACTTATACCCTTTTGGCTATTGTAACGCATACGAATGACGCCCATTTTCGATTTTGATCTGTCTTTTCAACGGACATCAAGTTTGAGATGGTTGAAAACCATAAGCACGTTGGTCGCTTTTGCTCAGGTTATTTAGGTCAGTAGTTATCGTTGTACGTATTGTCCCTTAACCACGCTTGGTTGTAGTAGCTTATAACACACCATACACAGCTGGCCCCGTAAATGGGGAAGTTTTAATCCGCGTTATGGCTATTAAGGATTGAGAGATGCTGGATGTGCCTTTGAAAAAACAAATACAACAACAACATCATAACAGTAATATGTCGATGCAACAACATTACACCAATAATGTTGTTGCCAAGAACACGAAAAATAATATCAATGTTTTAATATAAGAAAAGGGGCAACAGAGAGAGAGAGAGAGAGGGCCGTCCAGTTAGGGCCAAATGTGACAGTTATGTCAAAACGGATGGAATAGAGACTTGGCACAACCGTCTAATAAACCCATTGTTCGTTAGATTTTATGATTTTTATGCCAGACCCGTTAGAATTAATTCTTCCTGCATTTGACAGTTTTTGTTGGCAAAGACCTGGACTTATTCAAAGTTTAAAGGACCATGGGAAGATATTGTACCGGCATAGGGCCCACCATTACATGCCCTATATAATCCCACAATTCATATGACTTTTTAACATAAGGTGTTATATGGGAACTGGTCCAATCTGAAGAATTTTCAATAACGATCGATCTAGATGTCAACTAAAAAATATCGGTGGACTAAATTTTATCAAAATATCTCCAAAATTGTGTCCTATAGGTTGAATACAAAGCTATATGACGGACAAACAAACTTAGACAAAGGTGAGTCTTTCTCAAAGCCTTACGACATCTACAGAAATTTAGTATATCCTTGCACCGCTGGTAGGTATTATCCACACATCACTTATGGTATTACGTAAACCTCAGAGATAGTATATTTAGTATATTTAGAGGGGCACCTTACAATTTTATTTCTTGAAGTACTCTTCAGACTTCTGGTGCTACGGTCGTTGGAAAATAGTGTCGTCAACATTCAATACTTTTGCGTTACAAGGGAAAGATATCTTAAAATGATGCATAGCTTACAGATATTGTGATCCGTTCTATATAATCTAAGAACCTTTGAGCAAAAGTTAAAACAACTGAGGATTTATATACTCATAAATTAACATAAATTTGCAGTTTTTATTTTAACTAATCAAAAATTTTTAAAGTAAGTCTTCCATTTGATTTTTACAATAACATTTTTCATCAATTTGCATTTAAATTATTTAACTATAAATTTTTAAATTTGATAATTAAAACATTATATTTTCGTTCGTATGTATAGCTTTTTGTAGTGTGAACGGAGTAATCAAAAGGAAAAAATAAACGTAATTTCATTTTATAAGTGTGACTGACGACGTCAGGAGACGAGGAATTAGCGATCCCAGTTATATAGCAATAATTTTTTTGCTTTGCCTTGTTGACGTTTTGTATTTGTTCTTGGCGGTTCTTTCTTGCCCTTTCATAAAGATTGAACCATAATATTTTTTAATCGTATAAATATTTTACCAAAATAAACTTTTTTTCATAATGTACACAAGAGCATTTGGACTTTACACTAGTTCTCGTCTAAATTTAACACCAATTTTGTTAATTAAACATAAAATAAAATATATATTTCTAAGTTTAAACGTAGGTATGTTAACATTGCCGCAATCAAAATTATCAGATCATTATTTAAGGACTTGGCTCCTTTCAAATTATACGTTAGAAATTAGACTCAATTCAGTTGAAATTTGATTTATCGTTAAAGCTTAGAAAAGCATTTGGCAACCACAAGGACTTTAATTAAAATTACAATTTAAACAATCAATAGTCTAACGTACTTCTTACAAATTATATTATTAGATGGGGTTTTTATTCATATTGGTTTTATTCGATTTGTGAACGCATCCGCTTAACAGTCACAATCAACGATTGCGATGATTCATCTGAAATGTGTTTACGCGGTCGTTTTTGTAATGGCAAGCGATTTACGAAACGTTCAGGTATGCCTATCTGCAGTAATTTCTCTCTATTGTAAATATGTAAATTATTATTGTAATATGTAATAGCATCCCAACAAATTTCACTCAATTTCGGTATAGTCATCCACATCTTAAAGAGACAATTTCGGCGGACTTCTTTTTCACTGTATTCGATGCCACCGAAGATATACATGCAACCGTTCCCAGCGTGAGCCGCTGAATGAAAATAAAGAGGTCGCGGCAAATGGGCCGTAACTATTTTACACCATTCTTTAGTTCGCAGATTCAGTTTCCATATATCATTAAAGTATGTCGAAAAATCACCCTGAAAGTATGAAAGGTATTTGCCGATCGATTGCTTTTTAATTTTTTTTTTTTTTTTTTGCTTCTGTTCTCACCTGCAAACCACCAGTTATAAAGGCTTCTATATCACCATTCGGTAAGGTATGTTGCACGCAGGAAAGACATTTACGTGGTTTCGGAAATCCATTTTCATAAAATCTTATCATCATTCGATCAGGAATTGTATCAAAATATTCCCAACGATTTGTTGTCAAATTAAAAGCAGGGATGCGTTGAAGGTCATAAACGGTATGCGAAGTGCCCCCGCCAAGCACATATATATAAGAGCCATCGTAGACTACTTCGTGCCTGTAACGACCTTCAGGATCGTCCCGCATATCGGGTCTGCATATATAGACATTTTCCCAAATCTTCGTATGTAAATTTAATCGGTAAACATCACAAGTATAATCAAAACCTGTCGTTCCTCCAATTGTGTAAAGATAATCATTATGTATAACAATGCCTGGACCATATTGAGCAGTCGGCAAATCTCCCGTTACTCCTAATCTCATCACCTGGGCGTTTTCACCAATGGTGTACACATAGCAATCATTTGAGCAAGTCTCACCGAACGGGTAACCAGTGCCTCCATGTGACTGTAAAAGGAAAGAAAATAGCTTTTATATTAAACCTTGTAAATACACGTTATCAGTTTGAACTAATAATTAAACGCTCAATATGGTTCGGGAGATTTGCCATATTTGTCTAACAAGAAAGAAGAGAGAAACGAGAAAGCGTGGACGTGTTCAATCCGTAAATATTATGCCTTTACCAATCGAGCACTCAGTGTAGCTTGATATTTGAATTCGCGATTTGGTAGATGCTTACCCACAGGGCCAGTCAGGCGGAAGATAAGGAAGGACTTCGACAAAACTTGCTTTTATATAGAGCGTTCAATATAAGGTTTGTATCATTTCATTAATAATGCATAAATGTCGATAAAAGATATTAAAATACTCGTACACTTACAATTAATACATTATTGTAAAGGACAAGAGCATTTGAGGCTAACTCTCTAGGCATATCAGAATTATCTGCATGTAGAAGTAATTTCCAACGATTTGTTGCAAAATTATACGCCCAAAGCTCTTGAAACAGCATGCACCCATCACGGCGTAGTACGTTAGGAACTCTGCTCGGATTGTAACCTCCCAGCGAATATAGAGTGGATTCTGACGCTATAATACGATGACCACTTCGTGCTGTTGGATATTCGCCAAATTCACATACAGCTTTATAATTGCATTTGAGAAGACGATGCGGCGTAAAAGTGTATGTCGGTTGTGTCTTAGATTGCTCAAAACAATCATGCAGTTGTTTTAAGATCCACGCGGCAATTTCCACTGTATTACTCCTAGTATTGTCCCGTTCTTCATCTTCGTCATTTTCCTCATTGACGCTTTCTTCGTCATCGCTACCATTGTCTGCAAACAGATATGATTTACGCTAATTTCATGTGAATTAATTAAAAAAAACAAAAAAAACAAAACACTCCGACCCGAACCTAACTTTTCGGTCGTATAGTACAGATTCAGCATTAAATTATCACCAATTTTAAAATTTTCATTACCATTGATAAGATCCATTGCGTCAAAAACTTCAATTTCTTCAATAAGTCTTTCGACTGGCGTTCCGGGTCGTGGCGCTATTTCCTGTTGCTGCGACACTTCTCCATCTTGCTCATCTTGCTCCATACTTGAGTTACGTCTAAAATAACTGCGATTTGCGAATGTGGCAACAAATGTTTCTAAATTATTTAACAGATTCAGCATAAAAATTATCACCAATTTTAAAATTTTCATTACAAGTGACAAGTGGATCTCCGATAAATGTGTTACGTTTTTTTCTATGAATACTAATCAGTTTACCGGAAAATTAAAAATTATAAACAATTGCAGTTGTTTTTTCAGTTTATTTTGCACAACGCAATAATGCGAACAGCTGATTGACAACTATTGGCGGCACTGCCAACTTTAATATTTTTTTTTAGATTTTAAAATAATATGCTAAATCAGAAATTTGAATCTTATTTGTGCAAATTGTGCAGTCTTTAAAAGAAATTTCTTGAAAGGCAAATTCGGCGTGACAACCAATATATCTGAAGCTAAATTGTTTAATATTTTTTTGGACTTTTACTAAAAATGAAAAGAAAAAGGCAGTGATTTTAATATAATTGGAATGTAATAAAAAAGTAAAATAGACCTTTCTTTTGTTGAAGAAAAACAATTTAACTCACATTGAATTAAAATTGTATTAATATTATCTGCTTTAGTGACCGAGTAGGCAAAGGACTAACAATACAATAATCATTGGTTTAAATCTCAAGAGCGGGAAAGTTTTCAATAGAGCCAATAACCACCGTTACTAGTGCCTAAAAACCTTGAATTTATTTCTACGGTTAACTTAAATGTAATAATAGGAATAATATTTTAAAATTCATTTAATATTGCCAAATAAAAGATGGGTATTGGGCAATTATCAAGTTTCTCAATTAGATGGAAATATTTTTAAAGAAACGTGTGAATTAGAAATTATAATTGCCTAAGAATCAATAGCTTTCTAAAAGCGAACAAAAACTTCGTAAACACAAGGTAGTCAGGGGTATTTTATTATAATATTAACATTAAAGATTTATTTTAGGCAATATTATTCTAGTTAGTGAATCTCTATTTAGCAGTGAATAATAAAGCAAATTTTTACTGGAACATCTTATATGCCCAACTTATTGAAAAATTCTATTACTGCCAGCGTCAAGTTTGAGCCAAATCAAGATTTTTGTTATTATTTCTATTATTAATATTTTGGAAGTTATGACCTACCGCTCTAGAAAATGAAACTGAATGTGGTCAAAGCCAAAAAGTAGTTCGGATTTCCTAATCGCTTGACTGTAAATATGGTAAAGAGGAATCGGGTAGGAAAATTATAATAAAATCAATTGTGATAGTTAAAGATACGGAATTGCAAACATTTTTTGTTTCGTTTTTAAAACTGAACGTGCACCTAAAAATAATTACACAGAGTACATACCATTTTCTTTTTCCTTGCACACAGGTAAACTCAATTTTGTATCAGGTTACAAAAGTAAGTAGTTTTACATCTCTGTGTTAAGAATTTTTATTATTTTTGTTTTGCCGTTAAGTTGGCAGCATTCTTACGCAAAGAAGAAATGTACTTCCTGTACTTGTCGCCACAACAGTTTTTAAAGTTGTATTCAATTATCTATTTACCTATGGAATTCAGCAACAAGGGAATAGCATCCCAACAAAAAAAAAGGAGCAATATCCATATGTAAACACACAAATAAGCAAAAAAAAAAAGCATGTACATATCTAGTACATAGGCGTACTTGTGACACATGTGGCTCCGAGTTAGGAGTGTACCATTAAATCGACGCAGACCTTTAAAAAAATTTGTAAGCCATAAGTAGACTATTCAGTTTATTAGCTCACAATAAACATCATTGAACAGTAAAAGAGATAACGGGAAGGTACGGATTTTAACAAGAGCTGATTTTGCCCTTTTAACAGGTGGAAATTCGACACTAAACTTTATATACCATTCAGATGTTCGCAAAACACGCTAGACGAATGGATCAGAGACAACCAAATAACAAACTAGCCCAACATTTTAAGCAAAATTCAAACTAGGAGATTATTAAGGACTTTTTATGTTGCTGTTATCAATAACAACAGTGGTAGCGCTGTTAATTAGCAACTAATTGGGTGCTTGCTCTTTCATTCTCATTATTTCTACGGGCAAAGTTTCTTGTCGTATTTGCACTACAGTAAACACATAATTTTTTATGTACGGAAAAATCGAGCAGCAAGCAAATATAATTTCTTTTTTTCCATGGTTTATTGAATTGATCTGAGCCTGTCTGTCCGTCAGTCCGTCTGATGTTGTGTATGTAAATTTATGGTCAAGCTACAATTCGCAATTCTTGAGATATTTTGATGAAATTTAGTACAGCGACGTGTTTTGGCTCAAGGACGAACTCTATTGAATTCGGTTCTTATTCTGAAAACTTACAGAAAAAAATTGCCATTTTCAAAATTTCTCGGAAAAAGTTTACACTTTTAAGTACTAAGTAGTAAGTACTAAGTAGTAGTATTTGGGCATTCTAAATTTGTACGACAACTTTGGACGGGTGCGGCAATTTTTTAACTCTCTCATATAACAAAAGCCCATACGACAAATTTCCAATACTTCATGATGAAAATTATATCATAATAGAAATTTAACAAAAAAAGAAAAATTATCAGCACCAAATTTGGATCATCTCGACCTATTTTTTGAATCCTACAGTAATAAGGATTTTCACTAAAATTGATTCTTTGTAGACCAGAAAAGTGTAAGTTTTAATATGTGGTGATAAAAATTAACCCTTAGCAGTAATTTCAAAAAAAAAAAAAAAGTAAGAAAATTAACTTCTGTCGGGATCGAATCTTTTGTACCCATCACCAGTGTGATGGATTCTTTCCGTTTTTGTGGATACTTGCTACAGCATCGACCATAGAACATTTATTCAAATTGCTGTAGTTTATGAGTAATGAGCAAAAAACCAACTTTTCATTTCCTTTGAAAAACAGAGGTGTTCTCAGTTTACGTGATGTGTTTGCTTTGACCGATTTGGCCCATTTTCAATACCAACTTGCGCGCAAGAACTTCCAATGTTTCTGTTAAATTTGATGTCGATAGTTTCATTTTTGCGGCCAGAAGAATGTTTACAACACACTTTACACAGACGGACAGAGGTACATGTTTCAATCGATTTAGAATTTGATGCTGATCAGGGATATATATACTTTGTGGGATATGTGATGCTTCCTTCTGCATCCCTCGATGATGGGTATAATAAGAATTGTGTTAGACAATGTTGTGTAGGGTATTTAAAGATCGGCGTTGCCCGACTATAATGTTCTTGGTTGTTTTGTGATGAAAACTTGCTCATAGTAGTAATTAGATAAAAAAAATTAAGTAGACCTATTCGGAACCCCATGGGTCTATTTCTTGGCCCAGCTTCATATAAGATGTCTCATGACTAGTAAGTCCTTCGGAAGAATATTTATATTTTAAGATGAATATTAATTCAAAGTAGTCTTTGAGCAAAAAAATGAACGGTGAATTTGGATCACATGGGTCTATTATTTTTGGACCTCAACATATATAGGCGTTGCCACTAAACGCAAACTCTTATATGGAGAGAATATGTAAACTTCCAATAGGTGGGCTTAAATGATAATTACAGCTTTGTGTGAAAACAATGTGTACTCTTTGGAGTATTATTATTAAAATGAGCGAATAACTGTACTCGACGAAGTGGTATGGGTAAGGGTATGTAATAGGCGGCGTTGCCCGACTATAATGTTCTTATTTGTTTTTTCATTACCTCATTACTGACTGAATATCTATAAAAAGACATTCTGCTCCTTTTGATAAATAAATTTGATGTTGTTGCTGTTTGTGCTTTAAAATAAAATAAACATTTGATACCCACCAGAATTCAAGAGGAATTCAAATTAAACTTTTAACTCTCTTTCTTGTATCACTCGTCTTCAAATCATTTCACATATGGTATAAAGATACAAAAGAAATGTTTTAGAGAATCGACACACATACGTATGGGAGACGTGTGAGTGAGTGCAAATTGGTCATGGCATGCTTTATGACCATTTATGACTTACAACTTACAAACTTTTGTAACCCCTAAGGGAATATTGACCGTATTCATGTTTTTTTAGATACAAAGTAGCAAATTGTGATGTTATAGTGTGTGTGCCTCAATGAAAAGGTCTTTAACAAGATGATAATTTGAACATCAATCCCAAGTGTAACATAATTCATTCTTATGGAAAATCTGTATTTTATAACTAAATTTTCTTTCCTTTGACGAAAGCGCTCAACCAAAAAAAAAAAACAACTCGTTAATTGAAGATAATTTGAAGATAACATGCTGGAAATACGATAACATCTTATAACTGGAACGATATATTCCCTATAAAATGTATTTTCCTATGTTTCGGAATGAATTTTCCATTTAAAATAAGATTCTTATCTGCTTTGAAATAATTTTTATGTTCATCACCCAGAAGTAAACTTCAGCGACCACATAAGGTATATATATTCTTGATCAGCATTAAATTGTGAGTCGATTTAAGCATATCCGTCTACATAATATCTGTTGTCAACGTGCTCCAGGCGGCAAGAATGATTTCAAATTTGGCAAAAACATTGGAAGCTCCTGCACGTAGCTTGGCATTCAAAATGGGCTAAATCGGTCGAAAAACGCACCTACAGTATTACGTAAAGCGACGACACCTTTGTTTTTCAAAAGGAATAAAAAATTGGTTCTATGCTCAGTACCCATAAACTACAGCAGACAAATCTATACAAGTTTGAACTTATATTCTATGGGCGATACTGTAGTACCTACATAAAAGGAGAAAAATTTACCACGCCTCCCCAATATCATAACATACCCAAACCTAATTCCATTTTCCAATCCTTTATAACTCGTAAAAAGGAGATTTAAAAGCCCCATAAAGTATAGAAACACTTGGTCAATTTCAAATTTTGAATGCAACTAAGCATGTTCGTGTGCTCGTCTATCCGTCTGCCCATCTGCCCAAGTATTTGTGGTAAAGATTCTCCCATTCGCAAAAATGAAGATTTCGTCTACGAATTTGGAAAATAACTCGTAAATGTCCTAAGCCGGCCTATGCATATAAATATCCACTTTTTCGACAGTATACAGTTTAAAAATTTATTTCTTCTTCTTTTTGTTATTCTAATAACGCGGTCACGACCGACTGAAATTTTCTTTGTTGTTTTTTATTTATTTCAGAAATCATACCAGGGATTACGGGTATCAGAAAGGATTATCAGCAGATAGACAAAGCTTCCACACGATTGAACGGAAAGTGGAGCTATCTGAGATTGCAGA